CGCTTTGACAGCTTAAAAATACATTGTTGCCTTCCTCTTCCAAGCCACAAGTAAGACCAACAAATGAGAAATCATATCTACCAAGTCAAAAACACAGCAAGACACAACTCAATTGAAATTTTAACTTATTGAGCAAATTTTAAATAAAAAAATATGTATCTGATAAAATTGATGAGTTAATGCACTAGTGGAATGATTAAAACACCTCCTTCACAGACCCCAAGAATAAAAGCTCCCCCAAACCAAAATTCAGTAATAGGTACTTTTTCCACAAGTAAATCAGCCAGTAAATCAAACAGTGCTGCACATGTCTTGCTGCAAAACCAAAAACCCAAGGTACAGAGGCAGAGTATGTGGTTTGATACAAAAAGAGATGTACCTAAGCAGATGAAATCCCAAGTATCAGAAGTTAGAGACATCTTGGAGATGGAAGTTTCCTGTTTAAGTTATTTTCAAGAAACAGGGTCTACCCCATTAAACATGTTCATCCTTAGCTAGGCAAGTTCCATGAATAAAATTAAGTAAGTCAAACTGGCATAAGCACCACTGCAAGCTAAATTTTTATTAGAGGCCAAAAAGTCGAGGAAATTCTCTTGATCAATTTTCATCAGAGTTTTGATCAAGCCTAATTCATTCAACTGCAGTCCTTGAGTCTCTACTAGCCTAATGGGAATATTAGGTAGTAAGCCCCAGACATCTTTTATCCCAGAATTACAATTCTTAATCCTATGACTGACATTTGAGTCTTGAGCAATGAGGCCCAAGTTATTTTATTTGGGAGCCAGGCTGACCATTGAATTACTATCAGAATTCATTCTGCTGAGAAGGAACAAAAACGTATCAGGTTTAGTACTGCAGAAAAATTATTTTTGATTGTTCCTACTCCACTTCAATTTTTAAGCAAGATCTCAAATTTCACCTCTATAAATGTGCTCCAGTCTGAAATCACTGAAGCACTTACAAAAACTGTAAAAGTTTCTGCCTCTAACAAACTGGTGCTCACCATAGGTATTGCAATACAACAGTATCTTAAGGAATGCTTCATGACCCACAACAGCAGTAAAATATTTCTTGTAAAAACCTTGAGTTTACACAGACTAGTTATGTAGTGCACTGAAATTGCTATTATTCTGCTGCAACAAAAAGAAAACCGAATTTCTGACTTCTCTGATTCTTCAACTACTGCAAAGATTCAAACTTTCACAAGAAAGGAGTACTGGTTTAAATGCTTCAGTTGATAATGCTAGCCCTGAACACACTGTATTCGGCTACATAAAGAAAATACTTCAGAGTCCTCAAGAAGCATTACTGATCTGGGCCAGCCTCCATCTCCCCCTCCTTCTTATCCCAATCTTTCATAGATAGGCTTTAAATGTTTTGCAGCTGTCCAACATTAAGGCTGAAGAATTCAACAACCACGGCACTATAAAAACACAGGGTGAAAAGTAACTATGTTCAGGACCTGTTACAGAGCTAGAAGAGGTTCCTGACTGCAAACTTCTTCACCAAAACCTGGATAAGGTCCTGAGAGCAGATAAACCTGTCAAATTATTCCTCCTTCCTTCCAGATAATTCTTCAAGTGAGTGCCTACCATATAAACTAGTGCAGACTATGCATAACTGCATTGAGTTTTAGCCAACCTCTCTCACAGCCAAAAATATCAACCACCACCACTGCACACATTTTCTTACTGAGATTTTCAGAAGGTCTGCATAATCTTGTAACTACAAAGTTAGTGAGCCATTTCATATTTCCTGAAACTAAACTGCACATCAGATGATTCACCAATTAGTGTATTCATGAAGCTTTAAGAACCAATCAAAATTTCATTTTTGTTGAAAAATTTAACAGAAATGTCCAGCTGAATGCATGGAGAGAGCATGTGGGCTCTTCTCCTTTATTTAACTTAACTAACAGCTACGTTAGCTGGTGAAAAATATTCAGTGTGTCAAAGTTAATTTATCAAGCTGACAAAGTATAAGGGCTCCAGAAGGTATAGCATACATTTACTAAATTTTAAATACAACATTTTAACTAGATATAGCTCAAAGATTAAAATAAGCTGTCCAACAAGCAAACCACACAAATACATATCACTCCAGGGCACTTCTTATTTAATGGAGCAATTGCATGCTTGTTTCAAACTAATGCATAGGTCATCATATCAGAAAAGCTGATCATCCTTCACACCTCAAATCCCATAAATCAAAACTTGTTCTTTTAAACTAGGTGGATATCTTTGGAAGACAGAGATATCAGTACAGTGCAGGCCATGATCAGATGGAGGGGAGGCACTGCTTGTTGTACAACCAAACCTTGCACCTCCTGGAAGCCTCTAGGCACAAACACAACCAGGTAAAACCAAGTGCTCATTTCCCCCTAAGGCTGAAACTAGGAAGCACAGCTCTTGGGAAAACAAGCCAAGGAAATCAGCCTAAAGCAGACAATTATTCAGGAATTAGTTAACTAGCCAACCTATTCCAATACTTTGGAATAAAAATCAGTGTTTTAGGAGCTTATGATGAAGCCTTTACATCAAAAGTTATTTCATCTATCAAGTCAGGAATGTACAATTTAGTAAACAAAAAGGCATCCTGTTTAGATTTTACATTTGCTTTCACTATTTGCGACAATAAATAAAATATCACCAGTTTAACTAAATTTTAAGGATAGGTAAAATTGCTGTGTGGAAGTTACTATGGAGTGATCTGAATCCACGAAGTATCTATCAAAAATTTAGCTATTTTGCAGGAAGCTATCACAGGATGAGGTGCTTTACAACTATTAATAAAAACCATCACTGTTGTTTGATTAGACTAAAATCCATCTCTAAGCATAATGAATGAGCCCTAAAAATGCATGTTATACCATCTTTGGTTATATGTCCATCAAGGAAACATCTAATTTGAAGAACAGTCCTCTCTCTAGAACCTTGCTGCAGAGTGACAGGTTTCACATGTTGCAAAGAAGATTTAAAAGAAACCCTTTCTGCTTGAACACAGTTGATTTCTAATCCCTTGCATTTGCTCCCTCTTTCTTAGATGTACCTGCCATCATTAAAAGAGCAACAGAAGAGAAATTCTAGATATTCCTACAAGGACTTATTCAGCCATTTTTGCAATGCTCTCATACACATGAAGTCATGTCAAGCTACTGCTACCCAACTGTCTGAATTCACTGCCTGATTTGTATTGCTAATGCAATGCTGAAAACCAGAGCAGAGGCAGGGCATTTAGACCAACTGGAAAATCAGAACAGATTTCATCCACTCAGTCCACCAGGTCACAAAATTGGTTTGTTTTCTCTTTCTTGTAGCTTGCTTTGGACTGACAAATAATTCACTCTGCCATACTTAGTCATGTACAGAAATGTAAAGAATTGGATCTGTTCTGACAGAAACTCTATTGCTAAGGCTATTGCTTCGATATGAGGTCCATTTGAGTATCTTGGTTTACAGACTGACAACTGAATGAAGTAGGAGGTTGCTAACTTGGAAACTTGCCTCCTTTCAAATGTCTCACTGCAGCAAACTCATCAGCTGAGGATATTCAAGGTAACAGGGGTTATGCTCAGGCTGAGAGCTGCATGAGATCTTCAGCACAAGCTTCTCATGGCACAAACTTGCATGACACAAGGTCCTGAGGTGCACGGATCACACTTCAAGATTTCTATGGATGTAACATTCCCAAACAATACTGGTATTAGCTCCAGTGAAAAAGCATCTTTGGTTTGTGTGGTATGGCCTGGGATCACACCTCACAGAATGTGATATGGTGCCACATGATGAACAGCATAAAATGTATTGCTTACAATCAGAAACAGTGCAGAAAACTTCAACAAGCTTTACAGGAGAGGGAAAAAAAATAAAAGAGGAGAGGATTCTGTAAGTATTCAGGAAATGGAAACAGACTATTGTACATGCTGGGTTCATAAAACCACATCACCAGATTATACACAACCCTAATGAAACAAATATTCAGAGACAGAAATGTATTCCACGGGATTAAGATCCTGTGATTCGGTGCAAGTATTGAAGTACAAAGTTAACAATAACAGCAGAAATAACTCGATTTACTGTTCCTACAATTCCAAGAAATCATTCACAACTTCGAATCAGATGCGTATAAGGGCCACTTGCAAACTTTTATGCGCTCTCACGAGGGAGCCCGGCCCGCTGCCCAGCGCACGCCGCTCCGCAGCGGGGGTTAACGGGAGCCTGGCCGCCCCGAGGTGCCTTCAGTGGTCATTCTGCCAGGACATTTCCATACGGACAAGCCGTGCGTGCAGACCCGAGCACAGGAGAGCGCCGAGCGCCCCGCTGCTCCCGCACCGGCCCCCGATGGCCCCGGTGCCGACCTCGGGCAGCGCCGTCCGGCCGGGCGGGTTCGATGCCCGCTCGCGGGGCTCCGCTCGAGCCCTCAGCGGGGGCCGGCACCGAACGGAGCCGCCCCTCCGCACCGCTCCGCGCCTCCCCCGCCCCAGGCGCCCTTCTCCCGGCCGCGGCTACAGCCCAGTCCTCGCCGTCTCTTCCCCCGGCCCCCGACGCCCTCGGGCCGGGACAGGGCGGCAGCTCCCGCCTCCCTCCCGCACGGAGCCGCGGCCTCGGCGAGCGGCAGCGGGGCCGCGGCCGCCGGGGGGCGAGCGGCGCAGGCAGGTCCCGCCCGCCCGCCGCGCCCGCGCCCCGACCGGAGGCAGCACCTACCGCTGCGCCGTCCCGGCGGGGGCAGCGGCGCCTCAGCGCCGTCCCGGCGGGGTCAGCGCCCGTAGCATCCCCGGCCCGGGCCCGCAGCCGGTGCCGCTCCCGGAGCGACCGGACCGAGCCCCCTCCCTCCCTCCGCCCAATGTAAAATAGTTCCCCGGGCCCCGGAGCGGAGACACCGGGAGCGACACCTCGCCGGCCAATGAGAGCCGGCCTGGCCCCCCGCCGCACCAATGGGAACGGCGAATTGGCGGGGGCGGGGCGTCGCCCAGCCAACCGGGGCACGGCGCTCGCACTGACCCGCTAGGCTGTCTCCGGTGGCCTCCATTGACCACCATCTTGGAGTCGGGCGCGATGCCCGCGCCGGGAATGGGGAGGCCGGCCGGCGGCCATCTTGGGTCCGGGCGGAGCCACGTGCGGGGGCGGGCGGCGGGGAAGGGGCGGCCGAGCGGAGCCCCCGCCCCGCCGGCAGCCGGAATTCCCCGCGACCGCCGGCGTCAGGGGCGGAGCGGAACGGCGCGGGGAGGCTGGTGCCTTCTCGCAGTGCGGCTCCCGAGGCGCCGGATGCTGCGCAGGCAGGGACCGCCCCGGCACTGCGCCTGCAGGCGGCTCCTTGCACGCTGCAGGGAGCAGCAAAAGCTTAACGCGTGGAGGCCCTTGGGGACACGTCGGTATTGTGGAAAATGCGTATTTTAGGATTGGCTTTTCGCAAATATTAAAGTGAATATTATATGTGTTGTGTATGAAAGTAATGCTGTATTAATTCTCTTAAGTAGTGTGTTTAATATAGTTTTAGGTTATAAAAATTGTTAAAATAGAAGCTATGCTATGTAGGATACTTTTTTTAAAGAAAGGACTGGCAGCCAGATAGCAGCCACAGGACACCTAAATCTTTCAGAGAAAGAGACTTTATTGCCCCAGTATCAGGAGAAACGAACTTCTTCCCGCCTCGAAGGCGCTGTCACGATTCGGAGGAAGAAGTTGACGCTGACCAGACAGAATCCTTTGTTTTGAAGGGAATTTATGCATCATGTATGAGATGTATGAATAAGCAACAGGCTATTACTTTTAAGGGTTAATCCTTTCTTAACGTGTGTCCTTTTTCGGGCCTGTGCTGCCCAGAAAAAGGTACCCGGGCATCCATAACTCTTTGTTTCTATTGTCTCATATTGTCCTAATTCAAATTGTCCAAATTATTATTACTCAAATTGTATTACTATTTTTATAACCATTTTATTACTATTAAAATTTAAAAATTTAAAACCCCAAGTGATTGGCATATTGTTGGGAGCAATACCCCATTCAAAGCAGTTTCATCTCCCTTCCCCCGTGTAATGGAGAGCACATCCATGGCTTGGCCTAAGCACGGGTGAGGGAACATCCGATCACGTCGGCAAAGGAATCGCTCTCTGCTGCACCAGCGCAAAAAGATGGCTGCTATTCCAAGTGACAGAACATATCCCATTTTCCTGTGTCTGGCAGGCACACTGGGACACTACGGTGCATTCAGATGAGGAAGGATGCAGGACCCTTCGGAGGGAAGGGTCCAGGGTTTACTCTACTGGGAGGCAGCAGCAAGCAGAGAATGGCAGGAGCTGGTTCTCTCGGCATCTTTCTCAGAGGCTTTTGGGGAGGACACAGAGCGTGTGCTCAACAAGCTTGCAGGTGGTGCTAAAGCAGCAACAGTGAGTGCTGAAGGACAGAGCTGCCATTTAAATGCATCTAGACCGGGTGGGGAATGACATGATAGGAAGCCTGTGAAACCCAGCAAGGATGAACACAAGGAAATTTGACAGGTCCTGCACTTGGGAAGGAACAGGCCTCTGCAACAGCACAGGGTGGAGACTGATGGACTGTGGGGCAGCTTTGCAGCAAAGGATATGGGGTCTCGTTGGACAGCACATTGGTGTCAGGCCAAGAGCATCCTGGGTCATACTATTGGAAGCATAGCCCGTAGGCCAAAGAAAGAGATTATTTATTTCTGCTCAGCTACTTGTGGAATAGTGCATCTAGTTTGGGGTCACAAAATGCAAGGAAAATCTCAACAAACTAAAACAAGTTCAGTGGAAGCCACCAAGTGCTCCAGGGGAAGGTGCAGCACTTTTGAGGTAACCACCCTGGATTAGCCTGAAGAAGAGACAACTTAAAATACTTCAGCATACAGAACACAGCCTAGCATCTACATTACCAGCAAAAAACCCCGAAGATTAAATAATACACTGTATAAGCAATTCTGCACCTTGGAAGAGGATGAAAAATATAATGAAACATAGCTAATGGATGTTAGTTGCATTCAAAATTATACTGATGAGGCCAGTGTGTGAATTTACATTTCTAGAGCGGGGTAGCACTCATGAAGGATTCATGTGCACCCCGCACAAATGCAGCTGAATTGCCACTTGGCAGCCCTACATAAACAGTGCAAGAAAGAATGTGCTAACACGTAGCAACAACAGGCAAAATAAATATAGAGCCAGCATAGCCAGCATCTGGTTAGCAGTTCAACATGGGGAAATGCAAGTCCTGCACCAGGGGAGCAGCAGCCCCAGGTGCCTGTACGTGCAGGGGGCTGTCCCAGCAGCTTTGTGGGAAGGTCCTGGCGGGCACCCAGTTGAACAGGAGCCAGCAACACTCCCTTGATGCAGAGAAGGATAGCAGCATCCAGGGCTGCATGGTGCCAGCGGGTTGAGGGAGTTGGTTCTGCTCCTGTCCTCAGCACTGGTGAGGCTGAACCCGTGAAGCTCCCCAGTACAAGGGAGGTACAAAGCTACTGCAGAGAGCTCAACAGAGGGTCGCTAAGGTATTAGGGGATTGGAGCACCTCTCCTGTGAACAGGGGCTGGAGGAGATGAGGCTGTTCTGGCTGGCAGAGAGAAGGTTTAGAAAAGGATCTTACTGATGAATATAAATACCTGAAGGGAAGATATAAAGAGGATGAACCACAACAATCTTTTCTGCAGTTATCCAACACTGACTCCACTTGTATAAAAGTTTTATGAGTCAGTTTTAACCTCAACTTATAGGCTGTTTCACTTTTTAATTAATTCCGTGGCAAATGGTAGCATTTTCATTTCCAGTATGCAGTAAAAAATTTTATGCTAGATACTTAAAACTTATCAGAAGTATAAAGTTTTAGTAACATAAACCCTCAGATTTGCTACATCTCTTTATATTTGTAGAGCAGATCCTCTTGATTTTACCAATTTTGTCAGGATTAAAGTTCAGCCAACAGTTTTCATCTAATGAAAACACCTGCCATTCTGGCCTGCCACTAGGGCAAAGAACTTACAACTGGCTGGAGAGAAATAATCAACTGCTTTGTTTCATTTTAAAGATCTGCTGATAGGATGGAGGAAAAGAAAGGAAATAGGTTGCTACATGCTATAAACAAGAAGAAAAATTCCTAATACCATTCCTAATACCAGCAGAGCTGGGCTGTGGGCAGACCTCAGCAGGATGGAGACTTTGCAGCTGGTGGTTATCATGCCCTGACCCACACAGCTGTAGGACATACTTTGATTTTGTGAGGGAGCATTGATGCAAGGGACCAGCTCTCAGCCCTCAAAGCATGATGGAACTTACTGTGGCTGCTCTGCACTACTGTGTGGGGCTCTGAAGAGCTCTGTCCATAACACTGGGAAGGATATGAGAAAGCCATGGACTGTGGTGGGTGTTCCAAACTATGAGGATGCAATGAGCCTATTGGAAGAAATCAGATCACCTTTCTGAGGGTGTGCACCCACCCTTGAATGAAAAGCAATTCCCTGGGGAAATTTCTGGGCAACCCCATCTTTAGTATGGCAATTAATTTTCCTGATGGAGGGCAATGATCTGTGCATTGTAGGAGGACATGGGGATGCTGTGAGGAAACACCACTTGGAAGAAGGTGATCAGAGGCTGGAAACTGAGCTGCTACCTCCCACATTGGCTTGCTTTCATCTTTCAGTGTTTATTTCCCAGGCACGCCGCCAGCCCGGGGTGTGTGCTGCCAACAATGCAGCGCTGCGGGGCATGCTGTGCACAGTGCCCTCAGTCTGCCACTCCTGGGTGACACTGCCCACTTTCTCTGCTATGGGCCACCGTGCTTGCTTCACCAGCCCCACATTAACCATGTTTCCTTAGCCCAAATCTGCTGGATTGTTGCTGCTCTGATCCTGCTTCTGTGTTGCAAATTGTCTGACCCTGGAAACCTCTGCAGCTCTGGCCCCAAGCACTCTCTCCCACTTCCTTGTCCAGAATTTATCCTCTCTTCTGCCTAGAGCAATTTTGAGAAAGCAAATGCAGGCATAGATCTTATGATGATCTTAAATAAAACTTTTTCATTCCAGATGGAACTTAATAAATTTGAAGAAGTTAGTCAATGTACATGTTCTGTCCTCACTCCTAACAGCCACATACCAAACCTCAGTGTCAGGGGTTGTAAAACTGAATTGGACTTCAGCAAGGCAAAAGAGCACTTTTAAATTCTGGCTGATGTGGCAAGCAGCCTTCTCTGCAGACCCATCATCTGTCCCCAGAAATCTGTGTGTCTGTGGAACTGAGGTGCAGATACAGTGGCAGCAATTTCCTGTGCTAGGGTGCATTTCTAGGCCATGGTGACACACCAAGCCAGAGGATTGCCCATGGGAATCAGGGCAGTCATCATTAGTGTGAGTACTCCATGCTGCCTCCTTACTTCTAGTCTTTTTCCATTCAGAGTGAGATGAATATTACTCTCTCCTTCAGCCAGGCAGAGAAGAATAATTAGTGATGGAAAACCTAGTATAATAGCAAGGAAAGAGAGGAGGAGTAAAACAATAAGCACTTTCATTATCCTGCTGAGGAAATCTTGGTGTCTGTGGATAAATCCTGTCAGCAAAGGATACCTTGAAGCAAAAGGCTGATGAGCATGTACTAGATAAACCACAAGATTTGGCAAGAGGGACTTGCAATAGGGACAAGAGATTTCTGCAAAGCAAAAGTGGACAATCCTGGGAAAGGTAGAGCAAATGCAGGGTCTTGTCTGGTGTCTAATCTAACAAAAATAATCCCAACGTGGCACAGCTTCAGCATTAAGAATGGAGGAACCCTCATCAGCAGGCCAGCCTGCTGGGCACCTTCACCTACCAAGTGCTGCCCTGCTTTGCCCTCACTGGCCTCTGGCAGCTTTGCTTACATGTAAAATCAGTAACAGCTTGGTGATCTGTTTGTTTACAAGCAGAATCATGTTAATTTTACAGGACCAGAAGTTCTATCTTGCCTAAATAAATAGAAGGCAAGGTTGCACTTAAGAATGCAAGAACCTCAGGTATCAGAAGAAAAATAGATTTTTGAAATGTTGATTTGAACATCCAGCACACCTGCCCTTGCCAGGGACTGCCCTCCAAAGAAAAGGCAAGGCTGGTGAAGTGACTGGACT